GTAGCATTCTAACCACTTCAGCCATTACTGGTGACAAGCATCGCACAACGAAGAATCCAGGGCAGTCCTATAAATTCACTACTGGTTTACAAAAATTGGTACATGAGGACACCTACCTTGACCACTACTACAGTTTTGCCCTGTTTCAATCCAAGTTGGGCCGCAGTAGCCAGGGTCTCTTTCGAGGTGCCATCATGAACAATGATTTCCAAAAGTTGCATCTTTTCTACAGGAGAGAAGTAGTGCATGCCTATTACCTGAAAAGTATTAAATGTATTGTGTAAGTATATTTATACTTTGTAAGGTAGTCTACGAGATAGTATGTAGCAAAAAAGTATTCATGTGCTAACACAGATTTTGAGCTTTCAAGGTTCTCTTTAGAACAATTTCTACATAAAAACAATACAGCTATGTCTTATGAAAATAATTAAAGAGGACGAATCATCCGCTCGTCGCAAGTTTCTGAAACTGTAAGCACTACGCGCAAGATTTCTCAAGAGTACTTACCTTGTCAGGACGAGAAGAAGCTTTTGCAATCTCTTTGATTGGAAGGGCTGACGTGTTAGAGGCAATGATGGTATCCTAAATAATATAAATCAAAGACTCCTAAAAACGATGTTCGCTAGAAGCTTGTCAATATGAGAAAAAACTGCAAATAAAAAAATAATCAAAACGTAAAAAACCTTACCTTACCCACAATCCCCTCAATCTGCTTTATGACGTTGTGCTTTAGAGGCAAGTCCTCAAAAACAGCTTCAATCACGACATCAGCCTTTTTCATCGCATTGTAATCACATGTGCATAACAGATTGGAAACCATTCTGAAACATATATCCATTTGAACTTGCAGATACGACATAAGACGTGAAAACGACGCTGTCTAAAAGACTTCTCAAATTAGAACTTATGTTCAGAACTTTTGTAGTAGTGACCATAAATCACATAAAATATGAAAGAAACAACCTCTCTTTCTCAAGTTTCGAAAACTTTCGCCGTTTAACTAGACCATTCATATAGTTACCAACTTGATTTTGACCACGTTCCAGTCCCTGATAACGCTCAGAAATATATTCATACTGATTTTCGACTTATAACAGCAATTTTTCCATAGATCATTGCACACATCTTTGATTAATACTACAAACTCTCACCTCTTGAGTCTTATCTAACATCACACATTTGAGACCTTTATCAATGGTAACATCAGTAATGCCCGCTCCCATAAGTCCAGCTCCAACTACAGCTACTTCACTGCAAATAGATCTCTCATCGGCTTCGACTCAACGCCGTAAACATCAAAACGCGACAGATTTTATCCCAAGACGTACTTCACTGGCTTCCCCATTCCATACTTATTCTTTCTGCACTCAGTAGATCCTTTGAACAGCCCCACTAGAGCTTTAGACTGGTTAGTCTGTAGAAGTTCACCGAAACTCTGAAACCAACAAAGGTTGGAAAAGGTGAAACTCACTCGAAAGATAGGTTTCTGCAAATGTGACACTGTCTACCTGCGATTCTTGTGCGTATCCCTCTGTCGTCCCTTCAACAAAGCCTTTACGAAGGGTTTCCAAGATTTTTAGTGGAGCTGGATAGTTTCCTCCGGTCTGCTTTGTAACCTATAGATGGAAAAGCGTAACTCCTAATAATACACTCACGGATATACTAAATACTTTTAAAAAAATTGAGGGTGCTCACCTTGTCCTTGAGAAATCTCATCACTATTTTGTCCATGACAAATTCGTAGGAGAGCAACTGGAAAGTATTAATCAACATGAATACCTTTGAGATCCCCGAGAAGATAAGAGCCACAAGTAAAGAAGATAAATCACAAGTAGGTTTGTAGGCTAAAATACAGAAGATCGAGGAAGTTAGAATGCAAACCTACCTTTGTCAACCCTTTCTGCCATAACGCTGGTTCTCTATTCATTTTAATATCTCCACTAGCAAGTTTTTGAGCTGTATCTATTGCTATTCTCTCTAAGTATCTAAAAACTATTAAAGTGCTGTTGATCAAGCAGCTAATTCGAATAACGCTTACTCATGAGTATTAGTCGTTGCAGGTTTAATTCCAGCGCCAATCGGATGAACAATGGTGTCTACAAGCCCAATCTTCTTTGCCTAAAGTTTTCCAAAAGTAGACAAGGCGTTTATGGAAGTGGTTTGAATCTCAATAACGATTCACTAGGCTGGTAGTTCATTAGGTCAAAATTCCCTGCTTCACTGCAGATAAACTATGAACACATGCATAAGCAAAGGGTAATTCCTACAATTTTTTGAATGCAACCTGCACAATAGATTTACAACCAAAAATCCTATGGCCAGAAAATTTTTAGTCAAAAATTAGCGGATTTCTATTTTTCTGACTTACCTTGTCAGCTTTCAACCTCTTCCCGGTCAGCATCAAATCTAATGCATTTGGAAGCGATACAAGCTTCGGTAACCTTTGAGTACCACCTGCCCCTGGTAGAAGGCCAAGCATGACCTATAATAACAAACGTCAACTATAGGAACAAAAACCATGATTACGTGATCTAAAGGTAAAGCCATCTAATAAGTTGTAGATTTCGTTAAGCGAGCTGAGCTCAGAGCTATATAGGCCCAAAATAGACTCCAAATGTTGAAAGATAGTTTTCAGATAAGTTATTAACGTTCATGAATAAACGTATATAAGTAAAGCAAACCTCTGGGAATGCAAGTTGAGTTTTCGCATCATTTACTGCGATGCGGTAATGGCATGCCAGCACTAATTCACATCCACCACCCAAGCAACTACCCATTATTGCTGCGACCACAGGTTTGCCTGACCTCTCTATTTTGAGAAAGTGGTCTTGACCTCTCCTAAATACATATAAGTAATGAATTCGAAACAACTTTGCTACCTAATATTTGTTAACTTTGATATTGCAGCTCCTTCCTGCGCTGTTTTCGCCTTACTGATCATATCTACATCAGCGCCAGCTAAGAAGCTATCTGGCTTTCC